CTTCTTGAATAGTTATTAAATCTTCCACTGGCCTACACCAGGGTTGATCTAAAACCCTTTAGGATAAATATGACATGCATTACCACAGGCAGTCCTGAAAACTAAGTACATAGCTTTTAAAAAAAGTCCATGGGACCAGGTGCTAGTGTACAAAGGAGTGCTTAATGTACATTCTGTACCTGGTACAGCTGACATTCAAGAAGGCTGAAAAATGTCAGAGTAATACAACAAACAGAAACTAAAGATCATTTCACAAGTTTGGGTCATCTAGGGAATCAATACATTTATGTCTGATAACATTAAGTGTGACTGGTCTCTGGTACTTCTCGAAATAGGTGGGTTTGGATATCAAATTGATCCACTTACAAACTCCTGTGCCTTCTAACTTACGTATACTCAGTTTTTTAAGAGTACTCTCTGAGGAACAGTTTCATGTACTAGCCTGAGCATTTTCGTGGCCATAGGAAGCTTGAGTTACTATCCCCTCAGCTGAGATGGAGTTAAGTCATGCACTTTCTTTGGCCACTGCTTTAAAAGCTATGACTTCATGAAAAAGGTGGCTCCACATTTAAAATTTGGAAAGCACTCCAGGCTTTCTGCAAGCACTTGAAGTGCGCTAATATCATACCTAACAAATCGAGTTCCTTGGGGTAGCCTGATGTAGGAATACTTCGCTTTCAAGTTTTTTAATGGAGGCAGGTATTTAGGCATGTATCTGCATCAATACAGAATCACTCTGGGCATGCAAAGAACAGAGCTTAAAGTTACCAAAGAAGCAACCTGATAGGTTCAAACATGTTTTCATGCCCCAAGTTTGTGCTCTGAGCAGAGAGGGAGGGGATAATAGATGTCTATGACATTTTAGATTTGTAGACAATTTGATGTGAGTTTCTTACATTGTTCCATTGAACCGAGTTGTCTTTGGATTGCACTGCTGGTGCCTAAAAGGGGTAACTTGGATTTTATCCTTAGCAAATGACCTATACCTTGATGACTGAAATATAAATAGTGCACTGATTTTCAATTCTGTTACCTAATTTGTAGGGGAGGTATTTTAGTTGTTTGTTGGGGTGTTTTTAAAGAGGAAAATTATGTGTTTCTAGGCTTCACAGTACTTTGCTTTCATCTTATGATGAATCTGACTGCCACATTCTGAGATAGTAATTATAGAGTACATGAAGATTTTAAATAATCAGAAGCATGTCCAAAAGTAAAGGTTAGGTACCACATTCACTTCTGATTTGTGCCTTCGTGCTCTCTTTCACTCTGATTTTGAAGGCATTTGGAGAAAGATATGTAGGAAGGTTTATTAAAAAATCCTGTTTTCCCTGATCAAAGCCAAATGAGAGTCTTAAAATATAGGAAAATTTGGGTGTGAAACACTGAGCAAAAGTAGGGCACCATTTTCAGTCTTTTCGTGGAACCATGATGAAATAATACCAAATATTAAAAAACAAAAAGATGGAGTAAAAACTAGAAACTCTGAAAGTCCCAAGAGTTTAAAGCTACTTGGCAAACAAAGCTGTTGACTGCTATGAGTTTTTTGGTGAAACTGAAATCAAAGCATTTGCAATGAAGGTGTATTTTTACTGTTAAGCTTTGGCTTTCTGGTGGGACCAGTGTGATTTTTTTTTTTGCCTAAAAGCACCACAAGCACTCTACACTTGCATGTTATTTTTGCATGACGGAGCAGAGATGTCATGTGGAAAAAAGGATATGCTCTAAAACTGATTTCCCACCAAAATGGTGCATGTACCACCACTATAAAAACTTCTCATTTACTCAAGTGATAATTTCAAAAACTCTTAAATTTTCTCCATAAAAAAAGCCTTGATGTACATCCTATTGAATATAAAATCCCCCAGAACTGACTTGAAGGGTTTAATTCTCAGCCCAATATATACACAGGCATAGCTCCCACAGCCTTCAGTCAAAGCCATGCTGATTTGTGGCAGGCAGCAACAGCTTCTTGGGTCTTCTGAAAGGATTTGAACATGTTTTGCTATGTGCCAGCAAGCATTTATGTCCTCACAGGTAGAGCTCCTGCAGGATCAAGCCTTTCAGGACAGAGTTCTTTTCTCTTGAGAGTCCTCTTGAGAGTTTGCTTCTTCAAAAATCAGATTCTAGGAAAAGCTTTCTTTTCTTCATATTCTATTTTCCACTTTTTCGATCTTCATTTCATACCATGACACACTTAGACCAGTGCTGAATAATTCCCTGAGCTGCTTCTATTCCATTTTTAAATGAAATAGGGTGTTTGGCTACATTTCAGAAAATGTGTCATTTGATTCAACATCTTAATGCATTACCTCATCCTTATCCCTTTCTCATTGTCTCTTTGGGCTTGTCACTTAGAAGCTAATTCATATTAGGGCATGAAATTAATTTCAAATGCAGCAGGTATTCCCAGTCACTCCACATGCATCCCAGCAAACAAGGACAACTATGGGAAAAGGTGACCCTGTATTCACACTATGTCTGGAAAAAAGCTTGACAGCATTTGAGTTTCTACCTGTTCCTTCTTTCAAGCTACACAGGAAAGAAACCTGAACTCTGTTCTAATTTTGATGTGGAAGAGGTCTAAAAATGGACATGACATTGTCTGTGCCCTCTGACAGTTCCCCTGATCACCACTCCTCTCGCTCTCTCTCTCTCTCTCTCAGTTTAAAAGAGCACGGATGATTTCAGCTAACAGATTCCCTGTCAAGGCACAGGCAATGCCCTTGTACTCTCCTGCCTGCTTCCCTATCATACTGTAGCTTTTGATCTCTTGACAAAATACACTAAAGGCCATGCTCATTGCATTGCTGGCTCCAGGATCTGCATCTTCCCCAAGTGGTGGTTCACAGGTGGTCTGGCCAGCTGAACCTTTGATACGTGCTTGTTGGTGGCTTCTGAATCATCCTGCTCACTCCACTACTTATACTTCCTGTGAGTTAATCACACAGAAGAAGCAATTCAGTTTGCTTTTCTCTTCGAGGCTTTTAGTGGCTGTAAAATCGAAGAATATGAGGTTTATGTGGATTTAAACTTTATTCTATACTAAGCAATCAGATTTGGAAAAGTGTTCAAAACAACATTACATTGTCTGGGCATGATTCAAAGAATCCTCAAACCCGGATTCTGATGCCAAAGGCACTTGTGAATATTTAGCATAAACCTCACATTCAAATTCCTTGAATTTATAGTTTACTTGTATTTTCACTTCTTATTCAGCCAAAAAAGTTCAGGATTTCCAACACTGCTTTTCAGCTATGGAAGAAATATACTCTTAATTAGCTTTGATCCTGTAAAACATTAACTGGTGCTCCTTTATTTTATTAGCTCTAATGCAAACTTCAGGCAAGTAAGGTGTAAAATACATTGGACACTACCTAGTGTTGTTCAGTTATTTAAAAATAATGTAAAGAGGCACTAGACTTATTTTAGAACAAGCAGCAATGAAATATTTTATGATTTCCCGAGACAATTTCCAGTATCTTAAAAATGTTTCTATTATTCACTTTTCCATGTAAATTGGAAGACGCCTGATTCTTTTGTGTTTTTATATATAAAATATCCAGATTGTATCTTTGAAGAAATTAGTACCCTAGCTTTTGTCCATCACACATATAATCTTTTAGCAAGGACTATACTTTTTGATAGCTGCCATTAAACTGTTATATAACACATCTAACGGCTTGCACTGAAGCAAGACTTCTACATAAAAACTGCATTCGTTTTACTTAATGACAAGTTTTGCACTCTGATCTAATTATCGGATCCTAAACATCCTGTTTGGTTTGCTTGGCAATGCTGTGACAGCAGTGGGGGCTACAGGAGTGGCTTCTCTGAAAAGCAGCTAGAATCTGACAGAGCCAATGGCAGTTTTCTCCAAGAGGGACCCACTGCTGGCCAAGGCTGATCTCATCAATGGCAGTGGTAGCACCTCTGGGATAACACAGCTAAGCAGGGAGAAAAAAAAAGCAACCCTATGCAACAGAGACTGCAGCCAGAGGGAGGAGTGAGAATATGTGAGAGTAGCAACTCTGCAGACACCAAGATCAGTGGAGAAAGAGAGGGAGGAGGTGCTCCAGGTGCTAGAGCAGAGATCCCCTTGCAGCTTGTGGTGCAGACCATGGTGAGAAAGGATGTCCCTCTGCAGCCCATGGAGGCACATGGTGGAGCAGAGATCCACCTGCAGCATGTGCAGAACCCCATGCTGGAGCAGGTTTGCTGGCAGGATTGCAACCCTGGAGGGGACCCACTCTGAATCTGCCTATTCCTGAAGGGCTGCACCCTGAGAAAAGGACCCATGCTGGGGCAGTTTGTGAAGAACTACAGCCTGCAGAAAGGACTTACATTGGAGAAGTTGGTGGAGAAGTGTCTCCTAAGGGAGGGATCCCACACAGGAGCAGGGAAAGAATGTGAGTGATTTGACTGGTAATAAATTAAACTAATTTGCCCAAGCTGAGTCTGTTTTGCTTGTGATGGTAACTGGTGAATGATCTGTCCCTTTTCTTGACCCACAAACCTCCCCTTATATTCCCTATTCCCTGGTCCAGCTGTGGAGGAGAGTAAGAGTGGTTTTGGTGGTCGCCTGGTGTCCAGACAGGGTCAAACCACCACAGACTTTTAGAAACTCAGATCTAATTAAGGAATCCTAAAAGAAGTGCTTGTATTTTCTCCAAGTACAATATAAAGTGAGAAAAACATTTCAGCAACCTAAAAACGTTTCCTCAAAGGACAAAATTATGTGGATAATGACAAGAACGTGATTATGAATGGTTTAGCACAGAGAAACAAAATGAAAGTCAGAATTCTTTTGCACAGTTTGGAAATATTGACTAATAAAAACAGTCCAATATTAAAGCATGTGTTTTACAAGTCAGCATTAAAAAGTACACAGAAGTCAGAGGCAGCAATTAGCTATTGGTTCACTGAAGCCAATGGATACCACACCACTGACTCCACTGGACCTATTATTACACCTCAAAAGAGGAAATCCTTTGAGTCCTTACCTGTACACTGGTAAGAGTCGTGTATTGATAAGCTTTGACTACCAGGTAGTTGGCTTCTATATCTATTATCCCCAGGATCATGTACTTCCACCATCTCCTCTTCAAAATTGCCAGCAAGTTTTCTTCTCCTGTGGTAGTAAACAAGAACAATTATGTAAGAGTTAGGTTTACATGCCCCAAATACCTGCCTGTCTAGAAAAATTATCTAGATCTCTTGCATTTGCACCAAGTAGTTGAAAGCCACCATATACAAAGAGGTACTGCAAGGAACTGAAAACTAACACATACTATTTGTCTAGCAGATATTAAAAGAGCCAGCCTGGCAAAGTAATATGTGAGGGTCAGACTGACACTTCACTTAAGATGTAAACACCAGCAAGAAAAACAAGTGCAGCTTGAGCAGACCAGGTATGTGTTCTTACCTTTAGTTTTATATATACACATATATGTACACATATAAAGTGCTAAAGAATGAAGCATTCTATACATTTATACTTTCCATACACACTGATAAAATGTTGTATGTTGCACATATCATGCAACCGTTTTTTGCCTGGGTGGGAGATTATCAGTATTTTTAAATATGAGGGAATATTAGAGCAGGAGAGTAACAGCATCACATTTGGGCATATGACAGATCCTGTTCCAAGGATGGTTATTCTGATCCTAGAGGTTCAAAGTATCAGACTTGTTTAGAGAAAGGCTGCACTGAGACCTATTTTGGGTGACAGTTGCTCTGCTCCCAGAATCTTTTTTCTGAAGTAGGCAGGTTTGCTGCCTTCTATGGGAACCCTGTCAATCACCCAGTATTTAATCTTTACCACTTGAAAAGTGACACTACAATGCAGCCTGCAGATCAAACCCACAACTTTCAAAAGGTCAAAGCATTCCTCATGGTAGACTAGGGATTATTATTGTTCTCCATTCAAAAGCAAACAGCTCATTAATGAGGGTGGGCAAACCTGTAGCTTATTTGCATTACAGTAAGTTCCACACATGATGAGACCTCAGTGTGAAAGGGGCAGACTGTGACTGAACACTGTATGACTGGAGGTCTTTCAGAGTCTGTAGCCTAAAAAGCAATCTAAGGAGGGTTTACTTGTACTGCCAAAGTACTATAAATGGTATTTGAACTGTCTTTAAACTTTCAAAGCAAACCCCACTATCCTGAGATTTTTTCATATTGCTGTAGCTTTTCTAAGTGCCCGTGATCATCAAAATGGGTGACAGAAAACACAGAAGAAAAGGATCATTATTGCCCATTGCCACCAAAACTTGCTCAGGCTTCCCTATTTTCTTTCATCATTTTCCTTCATTTCATGTGTATTCGCTCCCTGGTTCACATGGACCTGGTGATATTTGGGCTGCTATACCATGGCAGAAACAGCAGGTTCTATGCAGCACAGGTATCTCAGATCTTGTAAGACTCAAACACAGAAAAACAGATAATTACTTCAAAATTTAATTCAAAAATCATAGCTGTTAAAACTTGGACCTGATGAGTGACTTGAATGGGTATTTACCTGAACAAAGCATTTGAATAATTTCATGTTTGTTCATTAACAGGTGCTCACACATACACTCTTTCAGTGGGATATTATTAGGCAACAGCCTAATTATTTGTTACAGTGATAATAACATTGAGTGTAAAACTGTAAATGCTAAAAGTCTTCTTTTCCTTTCCTTCCTCCCTCCCCTCTTTCCTTGTCTCCCTCCCTTCTCCTCTTTCTCTCAATAAGCAGCAGAAAAATAGCAGAAACAAAGTGGTGAGTAGAGTTATACTTAAGACAGTGAATAAAAAGTACATTTAATCATACCACACTTCCCTGTTACACTTAATAAATCCCATCCTTCAGACATAATTATGACTACATCTATGTACTTTTGTCATGATTTCAGCACGCAGAACTATTTCCATTATTTTAAAAATATATTTAGGGAGATGTTTTTAAAAGGGAATTTGAGATTAGATGTCTTCATTTTTACTGAAATCAATGTCAACCACACAGATAAGTCCTTTATAGGTATTGAAACTGTATCTCAAGTTTTTATGCTTCCCAGACAATGCCTTTAAAGCATCAACTGGAAAACAACAATGCTGTGGTTAAAAAACAAAAATGTGGTTAACATTGCAGAGTAATTTTTCATTTTAATTGTAAAGATAAAGCTAGAAAACACAAAGATATCAAACTGCAGTCTCTATTTCAACAGTGGAAATCCCATGTGAATCCATTTTTGTTACAATAGGACCTTGATGGTACTCACAAAAGCAGAGAGAGGCTGCAGGCTCAAGAACTGCATTGGCAATAGTCTGCCTGGGCCAGGACTATGGACACAATTTAAAGTCTCTTGGTGCCTTTGGTTTGCCGGTGCTTTCTTCAATTTCCAGCCACAGATCACTGTGTTGCTCAGATGGGACCAACTAACTTAGCTTTAAAAATAAATGTATGACCATGACTTCTGGCTAATGGGTAGAGTTTCAGGTGATGGGAATTAAATCTTCTACAATTTAGACTGGCACATACAGTTCTCTCTTTTTGCTTTCTTGGTTCTTTCTTTGCTCTTGATGAAAATAAGAAAAATACTTGATATATGGTTACTTATCTTTGATATAGATCTCTGAGATATTCCAAACTGCAAAAGGGCAGTTTCTGCTGAGAATTCTGGGCAGGGCAAAAAGCTCAGGAATCACTTCCAAAGTGGGATACCTTTTGGGGAGATAGGCAAAAGGAAGATGATCCTCTGCAGTGACTGGCAGTCCAACGCTATGGACAACCCAAGGCAGAGGCAGTGGAGCCCTGGTTTTGACAGGTGGCTGAAATGAAGTCACCACACTCAAGTGTCCCAGTTTTGCAAAAAACACCTAATAAAAGGCAACAGTGGAAGATAACCTGGAGAAGGTGTGGGGCTGCCAGCAGGGCAGGACTTCTGAACAGCAATCACAGATGGCATCCTCAGTGAATTCAGACAATAAAGAGAATGGAAATGGGAGTTAAGGTGATAAGTGGGAAGCCTTGACTTGTGAAGACTAAAAGGAGAAGCAGAGAGGATCAAGAGCTTCATTCTAAGGTTCACATCCTGAATAGAAATAAACTTTGCCTAGAAATAAACATTGCCTTTGCATAAAAACAATGATGGGAACAAAACCATCACACTTTATTAAAAACAAAACAAAAAAGACAACCTGGGTTTTTAAAAATTTATTTCCCTCAATGATAACTCAAAGCAAACTAGTTATTCATGTCTTTTGAGTTGTAAGCATAGTAAACAAGAAGATGTAGATTACTATACCAGAACCAACTGGCAAAGCATTTTAAAGGGTTTTCTTCAGGCTTTTTTTTTAACATGATTTGGTTAGAATGAGAGAGATTATTTCAGATGATGTCTTTTTGTTATTATTGCAATACAGCTGTGACTAGGACTTTCAGCCAGTCATATAAACAAATATTAAACCATAAAGTGTGCAGGTTAGTTTAAGGGCAACATTTCCTGTGAGACAAAGCACACACTGATGCCAGTGAACATGCATTTATGTAAGGGCACACAGTAATGCTGTCTTTAGACGCTGCCTTCTTTTTATGGAGGTCCTCCTTCAAAAAACAAGCCCCCCAACTTCTTTCAGCACTTGAGCTTCTGAAAATGTAGGTCTTCATATTCAGTCTAATCCAAATGTAATGCAGATTTAAAAGTAAGTTGCCTATTAAGAATGTTTCAAGATTCAGAAGTCTAGCATAGTCTTAATATAGAAAAATAAAAACCTTATCTTCTTGCTCCTTCTAGAAGGATATTTGAAGTTTCAATTTTTTTACTAATTTTGCAGTGAGAAACACTTGATCGTTATATATACAGAGGAGCTCTCAGTGTTCGGAAAAAAGCTACAGCTTTGTATCTGCTGGCTTGAATTAAAAATCAACAAATAAGCTGCTTTGTAGAAGAGATGGTTTTACATCTTGTAATAAGGATTTACCCCTGGGGGGTTACAAAATTAAAAATAAATTAGAGGGAAAATTGAATGAGGCTTTAGCTGTGCAGTGTCTACCAAATATACAAATATACACATACAAAACCCTTTTTGCATTCACCCACACAGCCACGGAGGTACAATATAAAAACCCAACAACCATTAAGACACAAATTCCCAATTATTTGTGTATGGGCTTGGAACACAGGTAGAATAACAGCACTGCTAGACCAGAAAATCAGCATATTGCTTCTCTTTCATCCACTGCAGTCTCTCTCTTTCACTTCAGATGACAACTTGCTTTTTAGATCAAGATCATGAAAGGAGCTGTGCTCTCCTTCTTCCTTACAGAGTTTAGCAGAGAGATCTAAATGAGTGCAGGAGATTTTCAAGGGGGAAGGCAGACTGGGGAGGGCTGCTCCTCCCCTGCCTTTCACAAGAGTGCCAGAGTCAAGTGCTGCGTGGTAAAGAAGCAAAAGTCTCACAAAGGATGAAGATTATACCAGGATTTACTTATTACCTCTCTGTTTGAAAAAAAATCTCAATTACAAATCAAAATTACAGGATAATTTTTTATTTTTAATTTTTGCCCATTACAGACAGTCTTGCAGACTCAGAGCTTCACCAGTATGAACGTTGTTTCTCTGCAGACTTTGCAGACATCCAGCCCTGCTGCAGGACTGGGAAAGGAGGCAGTCAAATGGGGTTACACTGTGTAGGGGTAACACAGGTTTTTTACAAAGCCAAAAGGCTCCCATGCCCGAACAATAGGACTTTTCTTGTCTTCTGCTTGGTCAAGTAGCTGGCTCAGGAGACTGAAGGCCTGCTGTAGGAGACTTTTATCTCTGCACAAAACCTCAAAATAACTTTTCCTCTACGTTACATCCTTTGTGTGACTTTGCATCCTCTGACCCAAAAAGGTTTCTTATTTCCTCATATCCACTTGTATTACTGATGACTTCTTTATGGGAATACTGTGACTTAAAGGCAAAACACCAAGACTGCTAAATTATTTACACAATAGAGAAAATGTACTCTTACAGAAATACTCTACCAGTCCAGCTTCCCAAAACACCTGAAAACACTCTGTTCCCCTCACAAACTGCTTACAGGCTGCACTGCTTTTTGTCCTATACCACGTTTTCAGCAAGCCTTTGGGAGACTATT